ATAATATACGCACACACAAATAAATCAATCAGTTCAGGGCTAGAAACGCCTATAATGAACCATTCTTCTTCTGGAGCATTACTCTCTAATTTGGTACCTATTAACAATCCATGTTCCCCGCAGCTGGTAGGGTAACCCAGAGTGCAAGTGAGAACATAGAGGACTTCAATCCTGAAGAAACTATTTGTTCAGTTCAAGCTTTAAAGATAAACTTTAACTTAATGGATAGAAAATGATAAAGCCAACAGAAAGCAAATATCCAATTGTTCCTACAGCAGTGAGGATATTAGCTTACCCGAAAAGAAAGCATAGGAGTGCTGAAGCCCAGAAAAGTTTATAATGAACAGTATCAGTTCTGGGTGAAGAAACTGACCTGGTGTGCCAGGATTACACAACAGATAAATGTATTATATTTATTTTTATATAGGGTGATGATGGAGATGTTGGACCCAGAGGATTGCCAGGTGAACCTGTAAGTGTTTCAGACTGTAATAGTATTACTGAAGAGAATATCTGCAGAATGTACTATGAATAGCTCTAGTCAACTAGCAGTTCACATATATATTACATAAATGCATTTCAGGGTTGCCCAAGGAGCAAACCCTCCCAATCCAGTCACTACACAAGAAGCAAACGTAGAAACCTTCCTTGTATCTTGAGCTCGTTTGTCACCTTGTATGATATTTACAATGATTGAAATCTGCAATAGGCTGGATTATAGACTTTTAGGGGCTAATTTCCTTATTCCTCTTATAAATCTCCTCCACCTAATTATATATAATTATCCGAAAGAAACTTTAAGATTACCTTCAGTGACATTGCAAAACTGGCATCCCACAGATAAGACATTCCACTTCATTCCCCATATGACAGAAGAGATCCCCAAGCCATAAAGCTAGCATATCCTGGATATTGGGTTTGCCAAAAGTATGGCTTACATTAGACTTTTACGCATGTGTCCAGCGTGTCTGATCTGATTTTGTAGCCAACAGATTTACCAAACAGAGAATGTTGTTTCTGTGCTGCCTCCCCTTCCCACATAGGGTAGCTAAAAATATGATTTCATCTTCAGGTTGGTGCAGTTTTTTTGGGCAGTGCAATCATTGCCATTTGTGCCTCAACACTGGCACTTATACAATTTTCACATTTGTACATACTTACTGTTCTAATGACGGCATTTCATATTCATAAATATGAAACAGAGAAATATAAAATAAATAGTATAAACAAAACCACTGTGCCAGACTACTAAGAGGAAGACATGTCCTTCATATGTAATGAGCAAACGTGGCTGCCCACGTCTGATTGTATAATAATGAACTACGCATAAAGGCATGATTTTACACTAACACACTCTAGCTTAATGCAAATACATTTATCAATTACATTAAAGGAAACTATTGCATTTTTGTAATTTAAACATTGTGGTTATACTGCTACTGCACAGACTACATCTAATATACCACCTATTCAATGCCTAAGATTATTAGTAGCTAATGTAATGAGATCAGTAGAATGGCCTGCCATACTGTATAGTATATTTTAATGCATGGACTAGACTGATGGCAGCTTTTTTACCATTGATTTGCGTTATTTACAGGGACCACGAGGGCTACTCGGACCAAAAGGACCTCCAGGCCCCCCTGGACCTCACGTAAGTACTGGATGTTTGCCTGCCAGGCGTCAGTGCTGGGGGATGGGCAGGCTGTGTGCATTACATATTCCATGCTGTTGTATCTGCAGTAATCCGTTTCCCCCATCATTCCACACATAGCGGTGCAGCAACGGCAATGTTTAATAAGCCCAAACCAGGGAATTACTGTACAATTTCTGGCCTTATTAAAGTCTGGTTGATAAGTTGTGGCAAGAAGCAGCACAGGCTGGTGATCGGAGCTCCACAAACACATCTGTCATGCTGATGACTATAAACAGAAAATAAACATTTGGAGCTTTGGACTGTGCGGTTGTTTAGTAAATGTATACAAAGAATCCTCATTCCATCAGATGGTTTATGCACATCCGGGTTTCCTCTTGCTGCGATGACAGCTCTGATATAAGCACGATACAAGCTTACTTCCTTGCATCTCAATTATAAAAACCGGATAAAAGAACCAGCCAGCTATTGTTAGGATTTGCGTTCCTTTTGAGAATAAAAAACATAAATGTGATTGTTTGCCATAGAAAAAGCCAGCAAAAATGACAAAGCTTGACAAGAAATGCTTCCATTAATTGGATGCTCTCATTGCATGCAAAGATGTTGTGCCATTTTGGAAAATTTCAGTGTGGCCTACCAGCCACACACTGTTCATTTTTCACCAGCAAGATGCCACGTATAGTAATGTGGGCTAAAGGTTGTAGAGAGCCTTGGTAGGCCATAAGTTGAGCGAGAGATATTGGATATGTGATTGTGCATCATTCCCACTGTCCAATGTGCCCTGATCTCCATTTTAAAGGAAAGATAACACTACAGAGATACAGAGGCTGCTATTGCTAAAGCATTTCTGGTAATGCTTGTTGCCTGGCTGTCCTTTTTTTTTTCTAACTACACTACCTTCTGGGCCACTGACCTGGACCCAAAATATAGATCAGCAAGGACCCTACTTCTAATCTGTTTGTTAGTCAGTGCTTCTGAAATTATTACAAAGAAAAGTATGGGGGTGCAGGGTGATTAAATATACTCTCCCTAATCCTTACAGCCAGCAAGAGGCAATGCAGCTTTAAGACTGAGAGCTGACCTATAACGTGACCCCTGATCAGTAGCTCACTATTGGCTGACTTTGGGTCACAGAAGTACATTAGTAAATGTACACCCTTGATTCAAAAGAGAAGCATAGCCAAAATGGGGATGTTTTTACTTCTTTTTTGAAGCGTTTGGATTAGTATGACAGAAATTGCATTTTCATAAGAAGAGATCAGCAATGGCATATTATGTATTTTTCTGATGATACATTTATCTCTAACCATTTTTTTTTGGTTTTGGATGAAGCGTGGAGGGGTTAGAACTAGGGATGCACCGATATATCAGCCGCCAAAACATATCGGCGAAAATTGCGTTTTTGGCATAATGCCGAAAGTGCTATTTTCTGGCCAATATAGCGGTGCATTGGTGCTTTCTCTCCTCCCCGCCGGGCGCTGCTCTGTGTCCCAGCGGGGAGAAACTGTTACAGGCGGCCAAGCACTGCAGGAGGAGAGCGATGTGAGCAGCCGGCGTCTTTCCTCCCACACCACTCAGCATCCTGTCACAGATCAGAGAAGAACAGTGTGGGTGGAGACAGCTTGCAGTGCTGTCACAGGAGGCTAATCAGTGATCTCTGAGTGTTTGTACATAATTGAGGACATACCATGGTTACTATATCCTCAATTATTAATTAATGGGAAGTGATCTACATCGCCTCCTGTTCATTCATGATTGTGGTTAGTAAACATACTATATTCTCATGTTATGAATGAACAGGAACAATCAGTATAGAGGATTCCTGTTCATTTATCACAGCTGCAGAAAAAGAGATTGAGGACTATGTTCTCAATCTCTCTTTTTTTTATTTTAAAAGGGAAATGTCCCTGACTATTTCCCCAAAGCCCCTAAAAGTAAAGTAAAAAATAAAAATATTTAATAAAAATGAATAAATAAATAAAAATAAAATACAAAACAATAAAAGTTTATAAAAAATAAATAAAAATAAAATATTTGAAAAAGTTATAATGAAAAACATTTTTGGTCTCGGCCTGACATTTTTTTTCAATTTGGTTTAGTTAGTTAGAACCCCTGGCAAATTTGATTTGCTCAGAGATCAGACAAAAAAGAAGGGCACCAAACTAAATCAGATTTCAAATGTTTAGAAAATGTTTATGTTGATTAAACAGCCAACATGTTATAGGGGCAGACACAACCCCCTTCCTCAGGACTTGAAACAATGTAATTGAAGGATTGGACTGAGCAATAACGCAAAAATTGGGTTTTAATATGAGATATGGGTCGTTTCCCAAATTAACAGAATGCAGGCGGCAGGTAGAACAGATAGGCTGTTTGACCAATATAATCATTAAATGTTTTATAGACTCTGAGATATCATTTGGTCTACTGCTCTTCTTTTCTGTCTGATCTCTGAGTTGCTTCCAGTATCTTGCATTGGAGACTGAGTGTCATGAGCTGCCTAACCATATGCTAATGAGCTACCTCCAGACTCCGATCAAGTTGGGTCTATCATAAAGGTTATCAAAAGACTCATCCAAGTTTCTCTGAAATATTCTAGTGATTTGAAATTTTTGTTGCTATCTGATTTCCTACTGGAGAGGTTTACCCTTTTTATTAGTGTTGGTGTCCATTGTCATCTGACCAGAAAGCAAAAAGGAACCCAAAATGTTACAGTTGCCACTAAAAGAGGAGGTGAGGGAAACTTTCCATTGGGCACACCTGTTCCAGTGGCAACTATATATGGGAATCTTCCTATTTTGTGGGGATTTTCCTTCACTTCCTGCTCTGTCTCCAGAATGGGAATAAAGGGAAAGCTTCACAAAAGGGAACCTGACCGGAGTTTTAGACATTCCTCACTCCATCCATTAACCCAAAAACTTTTTTGGCTATAAATACACTAACTTTTAACACTATTTCCTGTAATCATCTCTTGCACAATAAGAATTATTTCATTGTTGGATTTTAATCATATTCCAAGGTCCTCAGTGATGTGCTGATCTCCAACACATCACTTTAGCTACATTGGTTAAAGAGAGCAAAATTATGACGTTTCAGATGTAAATATATAAATTCCCACATAGTAACCTTACAAGCACCATACAATAAACATGAGGTGCCATATTCTGTAGATTTTGTTTGACATTGTAACTATGTCTGAAGTAATGTCATCTGCTTTTCCAGGGTGTGGCAGGAATGGATGGACCAGTCGGCATCAAGGGCAGTGTGGTAGGTATCACAAGGTTTACGATCACTTGTCCATAATGACCTCTGGGGAACAAATAAGCTTCTTCTGTACAAAACGTGGGCAGTTATGGAATTACAAGATGAAATGAATGATAATTGGGAAGAAGCTTCCCTAAGATTTACGTATTTGGAAACCTAAACAGAGAGCTGGTCTTAAAAAAGAAGACAAGGCGGTGATTGTCATGGGTGGATGCTATAATGGCCAGAAACAATAATGAGCAGAATCTGAAAAGACATGTTATAACATGAAGAAAGCATGTGTTTTCCATAAACTATCAATTCAGAAGACTTTGGTGGGGTTATCTGGTGTTGTAGACATATTAATGATTATTATTTATGATGACCCTTAACTTATTGTATTCCAGGGACCTCAAGGTGAACCAGGACCACCAGGCCAGCAGGGAAACCCAGGTGCACAGGTAAGTCCAATCTTCAGTAAACTTAAATCAAATGCTAATAGCATAACATCTTTTCATTGCACGGTAGCTCATATTTTCAAATACATGACAGCCTTGGTTGTTTACATACTAGTATTAAAGAGGGGACCCAGTGCACATTCTAGAACTGACAAATCACTGAAGTCCTTTATTAATGGTTTTGCTGCGTCCATTCAAGTGAACGATGCCTGCAGCATCTGAACCTGAATGTTTTGGCACTGCAGTACCTATTCACCTCAATGGCTCTCAAAGACACACCCTCTAAAAGAAAACTGGATGTCAGGGCTGGCATTGGTAATTCAAAACATGAGCCCCAAGAGCTCTGCTGTGCTGTTTATAGGACATGTTTCAGTGTTGCATTACAGGTCGACTTTAATATATAGCTCTCTACATTGTGTGATTCCGATGGTCCTCGTACCCTGCTCATTGTCACCTTGATGCTGTCAGGAAGATTTGCATCCCATCAGAAATTCCTCTGCAGTCTAAGGTTTTATTTATGAAATGCCCAGATGGTGCAGGGTGAATATGTAACTCCCGCTGGGCCACCATCTTGAATCATGAACACCTGGCAACCTTTTGTCTAAGCCGGAATTTTAAAAGGGACTAACAAGTCAACGAGAGTGACTTTACAGTGTTGCAGTTGGTACATTAAGGCTGCAGCGATCTTATTGAGTTCACAAACACCAAATTTGAATTCTGGCATAGTATGACACAGTGAAGATAGTCTTCATACTCTCATTAGAATAATATTCCAAGCATTATTGCACTGAGAAATAATGAAAAAGCAACAAAAGAACATCAGCCACAAACAAAACCTGAACTCTGAAACAACGTTCTGGAGTCCCCCAATTAAAAATAGACATTGTTATAAAAGTACTAAAGAAGTGTTTTTGTTTTTCCCATGCAGGGTCTTCCGGGTCCACAGGGAGCCATCGGGCCACCAGGAGAGAAGGTAACATGAAGTGGTACAGCTGTTGTGTACTTACAGTATTATATACTCCATCTGCTGTCGCATTGTATGCACTGAGCCTGTCATCCTCCCCTCTTCCCTGGTATTAGTGCTTAGCGGGGAATGTTCGCCCCTCCAATTAGGGATGACATGTTTACGTTAATCCTATATGTTAGTACAGTGCTGTGTTCTTTCATGGTTCCATTAAACACACAGTAAATCATACAGTGTTCAATGTAAAATGACACACTGCATATTTTTGTCTTTGGGCATCAAAAAATATACAGGCAACCCACATTGCTCTTTTACAAACGAGCGGGTGAGCAAACCATGAGGACCAATATCTTGCGTACAGATAAGGAGGTCCATTAGAAAAAAGAGTTTTAGTCAGTGAAGCACAGGAAATTATAAATGTAAGGCATGAATTTAGAATGCGGTTAACTGTTCACAATCCATTGGCTCACTGCAAATGGTATTTTTTTTTTTAATGTGAATTCTATACAGAGTAATGAGCTATACACAGCTATACCCAGCTATCAGATTTGTGGTCATGCTGTTGCCTTAAAAAAAAAAGTAATACAAAACCCCAAGAAAAACATAGCATAGTGGTATGCTTTACAAATGTGCATTGCACTTCACTTTCTTTGGCACTCCAAAGCAGGCAGAGTAATAAAATGGAACCCAGTCTGTGACCTGTCAAGTCCTGTGACCTGCTCTTCTTAAATCATGAAGTGGGCCCTAAAGTGCAGGCTGCGGATGCAGAGTATAATGAAAAGCATAAATTGATATCTGCTGGCCGTTAAATATAGCCCTTTAGCTAGAATATGCTGAGAGTAAATATAGTTCATTTTATTTACAACAAACTAGGATAAATAACTGAATATGTCTTGATATAGTTGGCTTTCTCTGCACAGCGGCACTTGCACCGGGCCATACCTCTATTGGTTTATACATTGATGTCATTCTAACATAGTAGGTGTGCTTAGAAGAGTGAGAGCAGAATAATGACCTCATCAGTGTGTATGATAATAGGATCTCTAAAAGTCTAAAGAAGCTTGGGAGAAAGGAGTAGTAAAGCAAAGTCACCATACATGTCTACTATGTAGGAAGCGAAGCCTTCATATGCAATGGGCAAATATTTCTGTACATGTTTAATAACAAGCTTTAAAAAAGAAACAGGGGTTACAAAACTTGAACAAACTGATAGAATCCTTTATAATAAGCGGATCACATTCACACTTAGATTAAAAGTCATAAAAGAAGTAAAGTCTATGAGACTCACCTGGCTGGACTTCGTCTCCACCTTTCCTTTTCCGCCCTCTACACTCCCCCCTGCCGTTTTGTCTGGTCTCTATTTTTCTCCCTGAGCAAGATGTTGGGAGCTTCGCCTCTCCATTCACCTACAGGATTGTAAGTGTCTGGTCTGTATTTACTTACCAGCCATCTACTCAGTGCACAGTTACTTATTTTCTCTCAGATATTTCTATGTACTCTTTTGTGTATTGTATATTATTTTGAAAACCAATAACATCTATTCTCTAAAAAACAAGTAAACTTTTATCCCCTTAATTTTGTTCACATCAAACTGATTTTGCATTCTTATAGAAGTCTATGTTAATGCAAAACCCACTTAAAGCAGGTCAGAAGAAGGCCTACTGCAGGTCCACCTGGCAATGGTTTCTGAATGATCTCAGAAGCACCTCAAACTGATGTCAAACTGATGCCATTCACACAAGTTCAGAACCCATTGACACTGGCCCTTAAGTTGTTGTTAGCAGAGGCATGAACATTTGTGGATCCCATTATTGCATACACCTGCATACTAGCACCTGAGAGCATTTGCATTAATATGTACAGCCTCAATCTGTACTTGGGGCATGCTGTAGACTTCACTGACAGCAGAGTCTGGAAAGTAACACTGAAAATTTAATGTGCTTCTGATTTTCTTCTTTGCTACTTTCAGGGTCCACTAGGAAAATCTGGACTTCCTGGCATGCCTGGAGCTGACGGCCCCGCTGTAAGTAAACAATTCAGGTATTCTTTTACTTGTAATGAAGGAGGTACTCTTTGCAGATGGTTTGGTCATACACATGCAAACTGTCTGCTAAGAAGGTTGTTATAGACCAGACTTGTCCTTGCATAGACTTTCCAAGCTGATAGATTGATGCACAAATACTGGAATGTTCAGAATGGAAGATGCAGTCATTAAAGGCTCTCAACCATTTCTGTCAACCCCCATGTGATGTGGACCCAATAGGCCTACATCTGTCAGAAATTACTATAGCTGCAGATTAGTAAATGTCTTGCAGATCAAGATGCCTGCTGCAGAAGTATCAAGAAGCTTGTTGTGCAGGTGCATGAGCTGTTTAAAGGAAACATATAAAGAGTATAGTCTTCATTACCCAAGTATCACTGAGCTGGAACAAATAGCATAGGAGGTAAAGTCCAACTCCAGGAAAACATTTTTTTTGTATGGAATAGGGAAGGGTTAAAGCCTCTATCAGGACAAGAAGTGAAGGAAATACAGTGACACCACGGTTCACGAACGCTTCTGTTCGCGAACATTTCGGTTCCCGAACAGGAAGTTCAGCAAAATGTTGCCTCCGTTCGCGAACTCCGTTACGGGTGATGAACACAACCGTAGCCATTTTCCCTGCTCTGACACATGGTCATGGCTTCTTCTAGTCGAGATCACAGTTGGAATCGGTTCACAACCAGAATAGCGTAACGAATTAAATTTAGTGAACCGAGGTCACTCTGCAGCATGCTGGCAGGACACAGACTTTTCTACTCAAGCTATGACTGTTTTTTTTAAGAAAACAAAATGTAAAGGTGCCCATACACTGCTCGATTCTCGTACGAGAATCACGGGAAATCCCGCGATCGTACGAGAATCGAGCAGTGTGAACGAAGACGTGCGACCGTTTCTACTGTACGGTCGCACGTCTTTCGTACGATTGTCGGCGGGTTTCTAGCCTGCTCGTTCGACATCTGCGGAACGGGCCTGTGTGCGCACGCGCACACTGCCCGTTCTGCATTGCGGTCATCAGAAGCCTGCCCCTCAGCGGGGCGGGCTTTCGATGATCGCAAGTACGATCTGCCTGTCCAAGATGGGCAGATCGTACAAGCTTTTAGTAAGCTTACGACCATCACAAGACTTTTGTAGGTGTATGGGAACCTTAACACTTTTTGTTTTCACCCACCTGGAATGTATTTAGCCAATTTAAACTGCAAATTCAATTAGGCTTTAAATCTAGGTCTGCAGTGAAGGCGCTTTTAGATTTCTCTGGACAGGTTTACTTTAAGCAGTTGTTTCATCTGTAAGGTGGTTAATAATGAGAGCAATCCCTTTATACAAAAAAACTGCAGTTAGTGCAGTCTGCTCCACATACACACGGCGCACTGAAGGCAAAGATGCGGCAGATGAAAGCCATTTTTTTTCCCAAAAGCAGAAACACTCTGGGCTGTGTTTAAAAAGATAGACAAAATCTTTTTCTATTTCACTGCACCTTCAATCTATTTTCCTGGATTTTGGACACTTTTAGCCAGTTTTTTAAGTTTGATGCGGGGAGTCAAGCTGCAGAAAACAAAAATGGTCAAAAGTATACACGCTGGTGAGGGATAAAATGGCAAAATGCAGGGAAAACCATTTAAAGAAACAAAAAGATGAATGCCACCTTAAAGAAAAATAGCCCCAGTGAGCTTCAACTATGGAAACATGACCACACATGGCATTCTGTATACATGATTTAAAACATTGTCACTGGTATTCATAAAGGGTATCCAACACTCTTTTGAACTCCGTCATGCATTTGCACGACAAATGTTGGTGCTTGCACCAGATTCATGTACCTGATCAAATCACAGGCTCAGCATTACTGAGCTCCCACCCAGCCACTGCACCAGTCACACAGGCAGATGCAGTGGTAGATGACTTATACTGTAGGTGGGTGGAGCCTGATGGTGCATTATTAGAGTACTGAGTTCCCCATCAGGTTTGCTCTGCTGCAATTTGACAGCAGGCAGTGGGCGGGTGCCATAGCCGGCCTGCTATTGGCTATGACACCCTCCCACAGCCTGCTGTTAATCAACAGCAGAGCAGACCTATGTTGTAAGTCATGTTATTATACTGCAGTGGCTTTGTGATGTTATTTATGGAGTGCAAAGGGGTGAGCTTACATACTTTTAGCCATCTGATGATTCCCCATTTGCTCTCCTAGTCTTTACCCCTTTATTGCCATAACTTTATTGATTGCCAGTGCTGATCTTTTATGCCTTCTGTAGGAATAAGGACATTAGATAAATGTTTCGTCACCCATGGGTATAATTATCTGAATCTCTACTCCTGAATTGCTATACTAGAACAGAGATGATTAGGGATTATTAGAATTGATCTTAATTATTGTATTCCCTCCCTGTCATAGCAATAGTGTTAGGTTGTAAGGCCCAATAGCCTGAATGAGCCCAGCACTGATAACAGACACTTGTCATATAACCAAAGATGCTGTCAGGATTACATAAAGAGAAGCTAAAAAGCTTTATTGATTGATATTTGTGCCCTGGATGATGTCAGTTATCGGCACTGAGCTCAGACAGGAGATGGGTCAGACTTCTTGAGGGCCTTATAAATCGACACTAGACTGGCATGTCTGCTCTGACAGGAAGAGAATCCCAGTGAATAGCAATACACACACCTATCCCTGAGAGGTAACCCTTCATTAATATATCAAATAAAGGTAGAGATTCAGATTCTTACAACTGCCCATTCCTGACACATTCTCTTTAAGACACAGGCAGACCTTAATGTAGTGGCAATGTCACACCCTAAAACTGATGGTATTCCTGGGGATGGTGTTTGAACTGTATCGGATACAGTAGTTATTGTTTGTTTTTGGCTATGGCCCATGTAGGAAAACTGTGACTATCCCTTCTCCAGGTAATAGGTTTCCACATTTTATTTGGGCAAGACCCAAACTTGGTGCTATATATTGATGCCCAACGTTCCTGGCAGTCATATTCCCTGTCCCAACTTCCCTCTATTGGCAATCACAGATTACAGGTGGTGTGTATAATCTGTGAAATTCCCAGCAAAAACCCTTAGAAATGATAGATCTGAGGGGTCTGTAAATGGCCCCATATACAAATCAGGTGTATAACCCCAGAGCAATCCCCTCCTCTGAGTCTCTGCTCATGGCGTAACCCCCTACTTCAAGCCTTGCCCACTTTAAGTTTAATTTTAATACAGTAATTTGCAGATTATGCTGAGAATCGCACAAGCAACACAGCATGAATATAAACAAAAGTCTTCCAAGAGCAAAATAGATTTAATTACTCCAGGTGAGGAGCGCTAAAGCAGCAGAACCACACCGTAAAGTGTAATGCAGAGAACACTCTCCCTGCGCAAGGCTGAGTGCACCATTCAACGGGGGCTGGGATCATTAGCATGCATATAATGTTGCGGTGTTTATACAAGATCTATGTTCTCTGTTTGCACTGGTGGGAGGCAGGAAGTCCAGGTGTGCTACTAATTGTATGTCTCGCTTAGCAATGCAGTGTATGAAAATATCTTATTCTCTGTCTTTGTCTCCACACAGGGTCACCCTGGGAAGGAAGGACCCCCAGGAGAGAAAGGAACTCTGGTATGGTAGTATGTTTTTATATACATTTTTCCCATTCACTTAAATGCCAGCTCCACCCAAAGAGTTGTTTCAGTTTAGGGTGTGTACTGGTGAGTTTAATCACCTGCTGGTTTCTTTTATCTCTCTGAGACTCCAGCGATGGTACCATTTTCTAGCAGTAGTTTGTGCCTCAGCCCCACCCACAATTCCATAATAAAAGTGTCACTTTTTACACACATACTGCCAATTTGCTTATTTTACATTACAGAGAATCCACCAGGGAGGTTGTCCTCACCCATCATTTAGCTAAGTAATATTTGTGAGAGTGGAAATACTGTTGGGGGAATCTCACCACAGGAATCTTTGAAAGATGAGCAAGCTAGCATGTAATAACACTTGTCCACAATGACATAATACTGAAATATCAGCTTTGGATGGCGATAACCTTCAAGCAGCATAACTGGCCCTTGCCAGAGTCATAATAGCATTTATGACAAAAGTTATTACTGTTACTCTTCTTTGATATATCACAAACATATTTTGCAGAACTTCATAATCTGGAAAATTAGTAAATAAAAAAGAAACCTCTTTTTCAACTCACTGGATACTCTGAGTTCGGATACATGGGCAGCACAAACTCAAAAAAAGGTTGTACAAATGGGAACAGGGGATTTAATTATAATGACCAGCGATGCGTCAGAAGCACTATGGAGTAAATACCTAGCAAATAAATATTTTTAACAAATTCCACTACAACAAAACGCTTGTTACAGACTAAGCAAAAAAAAAAGTAACTGATTGGTAGAAATGTGTGCTTACAATTTTATGTCATATAAATAACTTAAGCCATTAACAGGAAGTTGTGTCCTTAATTCTGCAATATTTAGGCTCATTACTCCCACACTTTGATTTAACATTCTGCTTGACCCAGTATTATGTGTCCCCAGTTATGAATGAACAGCAAGTGTTTTACATCACTTCCTGTTCATTCATGAATTTCTGAATGGGTAGTAGCACTCACTAGAGAGGCTTCTACCCATTCATAACTGGATGGGTAAAGAGATGAAGGACTCTGTTTCCTCAATTTCTTTTTATATTTCAAAAGGAAAATGTCAGGGGTCTGTTTAGACCTCTGATATTTCCATGAAGCACCCCCCCCACCAACAGTAAAATAAATAGATTAAGTAATAAAAGATAAATAAAAATAAATAAAAACACACACACTTTATTAGACATGTACAAAAACAAAGACAAAAAAATTGTTTTGGACGAAATGAACGGAAACTAAAAACTTTTTTTATTAGTTTCGTCAAATGAAACAAGTGCAGCCATCCTGGACATCACACACCGGTTGGGGGGCACAATATTCTGTTCTTGCCTACGGCGCAAAAGGAGCTAGCTACGGCTTTGTGACCTCTGACAGCTAATTATCCATGCCAGTGAGTGTTACTCACACGTATGTAGCCAAAGCATTCCAGTACAGCCTAGGCTGGCTGCGGCCAGTCACGTGTTGCATACTGTGTTCTCTGGTTGTCAGCTGCTCATAAACTCTAGTACCCGCCAACATTTGCACGGTGATAAGCATCTGTATATGTTTAAGTGTTGGGCGTGTGTTTTATGCATTTTGGCCACCTAAAAAGATTTCAGAATGCTGTAAAAAAAAAAGCTTAAGAATTGTGCCATAAAAATAAGGCGTCCAAGAAGCATTTGATAAAGTCTAAAGGAACATCTGTATGGGGTTCCTTCCTCTCAAGAAACCCCCAGTTCTTAGAGCAGTCACCCTAGATTGTCCTTACTGCACTCCAGGATCCCTGTAATCTGGGGTGAAAATAGCAATAAAGGGTGTAACTATAGCCATAGTAAACCCTGCAACTAGTATGGGTCCCAGAACTGTCTGGCTATACAGTGATTTATGCAAGTAGCAATAAGTTTAGGCAGAAAATAAATGTGTATACAGTTGGAAACCTCTATAAAATTGCCATGAAAGAAATTAGTGTTCTGTATCTTTAGAGGATTTGCTTTTGAGATGGAGGTTAGATACGTAAAGGGGCCTTAACGGTTTTGCTATAGGGTTCTATCACACATGGTAACAGCCCTGATAGAAACATCGATTCTTGGCATTTCCTCTTCCTGTCTTCTGCCCCATATTCGATCCTTGGTTATGGAAGATTTCAGGGTATTGGACATTTTATCTAAGGATGTCAGTGGGTACCTAGACATTACTTTGGGAAGTATTTACTCCTCATAGGTTTCCTTTAAATGTACATGAATACTCTGCCTCAAAAAGTCCCATTTCTGAAAAGTCTCAAACTTTAAAATTTCATCCACCTCCAGCAAAACAATTGTCAGAAAGCAAATTCATAATTGCAGCTATCAGCAGACACATTGTGCCGTACATTCTGCAAACGCTGTGACCTGTAATTGGGTTTGGCCACTGGGTGGCAGCGCCGTTCTGCTGAGGAGGCCATGCAGAGACATGGAATTTGTATTAATAATCTCTGCAAAATAATACATTTTATCAACTGACTGCTGATACAGCTGTGGAGGAATTAATTTATCTTCTGTTATTTAAAGGCGACACGTTATATAAAAGAGTTCTGACTACCTAAAATGGATTGATCAATAGACCTTGGTTTACTTTATGGACTGCAAGGATCCAGATGGATAGGCAGCTGTTTATTATATTACACCTTCCATGGGCTTTAATAGGAGAGCAATGTGCAGCAATTCATGACTAATGATCAGAAATGATCTCTTGTTGTCCCCAAACATCACAAGTTGATTTATGTAAGTTTTTTTTTTTTACTTTTGCCAGTTGACACAGAGGTCAATTATCTAACACCACATGGTGGTAGCCTGCACTGTAAAGTGACATCAATGTCCTCACTATCTGGACAGGTGCATCAACTCTGATGTCACACAGGTGATTCTTCTGCTGGCGACACATTTCCAGTGGCAGAATGACTGAGGTGCAACAACCACTTTACTTAACTGCCAATGTCTCCTTCGTTGGCTTGACATGCTGCACAAATCAAACTCCCTAGTGAGGGAGCAGTTATGGGCTGATATCTTGCTGATCCAACTAGTGAGGGAGTGACTCCATAGGAGGAGGAAAATGATCTCGGGGTGTAATCACTTGTCTGACACGGCCCTTACAAACACATTGGAAATATTATTATTTACATTTTGCATAAAATAGCATATATATAGTACAAAATGTCAAATCACCTATTGTAATAAGATCTAGTTTATAAATAGTCCAATTTTCTTCTTTGTGTTTCCGGTCATTTTGCAAGAAACAGCGGCCCCCTTATTTAGCAGGGTATGCTGGGAGCTGTAGTTCATCAACACTGTGCTGTCCCCTCTTCTCAGCCTAAGGAATTAAATATTTTAAATTTCCATAAATCTTCTATTTCACCTTCATTTTTATTCCTGGCATCTGACAGACGCCACTGGCCATGAAATATTCCACGTTAAAATATGCCAAGAAATATTTTCTGTGCCACTCTCTTCCTCTGGGCGGTAAAGTAGAAAGAATTCATTTTAAAATATAGGAAACCCACCCGGGGCCCGCTCTGACAGGCTGCACTTGATTAGTTGTCTTCGGAGGACGCGCGGCAGTTTAACTCTCTGATGCGTGGCTGGATATGCCAACAGACGTGCAAGGCAAATGCCAAACGCAACAACCAATTGGCTCATAAAGGGCTTTTCCAGGGGGATACAGGGAGCACTCCACTGGCCACAGACACTTATTATTGCACTTTGAGCGGCGTAAAAAGAAAAGGATGGATGCATGAATTAAGTGTGCTTCTACTTTGTGTAAGCCAAGTTACTCGCATGATTGCAGCGGGTTTGAGAAGGTGCAGATGTATCACCTCCTTTTTGGTCTCGATGGGGCATCTGTCTGCCTAAATGACCATTTTCTTACTACAATAATATATTACTACTCTTAACACTATTCTAGAGTAATAACATTTGGTAAAGGAGAATACATTTTTTGCCATGTTCAATTAAAAGCCCAACACAAACTATTTTTAGTTTAGTGGGTAAGAGTTATAACCTCGGTTAGGTTTTTATGGCTGCCTGAGACCCCTTGAAGATAGTTCCTCACACTTACTGTCTCAATGAAGACTCAAAAAGCAATCAAAACCTCTGCTCACTCTACTTATTAAACTTCCATAGAGATATCCCTATCCCTATTAGGGTAAATCACCCTAACAGGGACACGGAGCAATAAAAACATTACAGAGAATTTAACACCCCTCTACTGGTACAAAATGTACTGACCACAACCTCAAATTACATCAATAGCTCCTGGCACTGAAGAGCCTGCATCTTGCAGGTTTGAGCAGGAGATACCTTCTTTGTCCTTTGCCCTGGTCTGCAGTTATAGTGCAGTCTGCAGACAGGCTGGATGTCAACAGAGCAGTGTTTATACTGGCTTTGTGTGCTGATCACTGTCATAGCACAAGAAAAAGGAAGGCAAAGGAAATGGGTAATATTTGCAAAGTTAGTTGGTGCACTTAAATATATAAAAGATCAGGTGTGTTTTAAAGCTATAATTATCCTTTTATGTGTTTAAAGGAGGACTATGAGGTGAGTGCTTTTCACTCACCTCATAGTTCTAGCCGACCTGTGACAATGAGACTGTCACAGGTCGGCTCAGTTGATCGGGAGGTGAGCGAACACATAGCGGCGTTCGCTCACCTCTCGATCCTGTCACGGCTCTCTGCCGTGACAGGGGAGGGGCTGGATTCCCCCCCTCCACGATCCGCCAGCGCTGACTGGCGGAACGGACAGGGGAGGGGCGGGTACAGCTGGCTTTGCCTCTAGATAGGCAGAGCTAGCTGTCAGTCACGCAGCTGCACGGATCCTGGCACAATTGCCGGGATCCGCTTCAGCTGCAGCGTCTCAGTAGCTAGGGTGACGGGAGGGCGCTAGTTTGTGTCCTCCCATTACCCTAAGGAGAACTATGGGGAAAAGCCCTGACCCCACAGTTCTCCTTTAAGGGAATACTATCTGGGATAAAGGTTGACTTATGTTTACCTGGAGCCTAAAGGTCACAGTCATGCTCGTCACATGCAATGTGAGATATTGAAGCCTCCGCATGAGGCAAGGGGGAGGTGTTGTGCTAGATTTGGTGTGAAGTCATGCTAACCTGTCGTTAGCCAATTAACAAGCAGCACTCCAGCAATTTACCTGTAATGAGATGCAGCACACATCCTGGGGGAGCCAGTTCAGTGTCACACCAGGTTTATTCTGAGCATGGAGTGCTCAGAGCGATATGCAACTCATACACAAATAAGCCTCATATATAATGGAGGGAAATGTGCAGCTTGCAGCACCCAATAGGTTTCCATTTTTTTAACCTACTTCAGGTTGAATAACTGCTGTAGGCTGATTAATTTATGTGTGCATTCCTATAGAAAGCCTCTGTATGTTTATTTGCAACACCTCTGCATACCTTTAAAAGGGGCGTTTCCTTTAAAAGGGGCAGAGTCATCAACAGAATTACAGACAGGAAGTCAACTGCATGCAAGGAAATCCCTTCCCTCACCATCAAACTTTATTCTAATCTTGAATAAAATCTATATTACATGTAAAATATACTTTAACTGTATACTTGTCCCTGAAACTTTATCTTAAAATGTAACTCCAGTTAATTTTAGATGGAGTAGGGAAAGGTTCGAATCTCTGTTAGGGTTTTATTACTGTCTATATCCTCATCAGTTACATTTCCCTGCACTTCCATTCCCAGGCATTCAACAAGGAAGGGAAAGAAAATCTCTGCAAAACCTCCTCTGACCTAGTTGTGATGGAACAGGTGTCTTTGTGGAAGTTTTCCCTTCCACTCTTGTTCAGTGACAACTGTAAAATTTTGGATTTTCCATCATTTTCTGTTGCAATGATAATGGCGGACATTTTTTAATTATCTTCAGTACCAATAGGTTCCTGATGTACAGTCAAAAATGTTATCTAGTGACAGAACCAGTAACTAGTAGTCCATTAATGACTCCTTTTGCTGGCTGTGGCCCGTTGGACTCTTTGGTTCAGTTCAGTTTATTACCAATCTGAGTTGCCTGTAAGCACAAAAAGGAATGGGTTCTATGGCATCAGAAATGAGGAAAATGGCAGCGGAACACCCTGCGCAGCTCTTTGGAATAGTTATGCAATCACCTGCAGGTTTTCATAATCTGATCCCGCTATTTCTGTGTTTTGCTGTTCTCTCTGTGCATCACTACCAAGAAACCCAAATTCTTATTCTTTATTGGGTGTCTGTGTGGTTTTTGTTTTAAACAAATAAGATTCTGGGGGGTGAAGGCAGCGCAGGTTGCTCGTGTCTCAGACGTCTGTATGCATATTCAGCAGTAAGCGTGCGCAGGGCTGTAATCAGATTGGAGCAGGGAGGTAGGCACTCTGCGGTCTCCATCTATCGGTTGCCAGGCAACAGCACAGAAACTTAATTCAAAGTTTAGACTCCGATCGGGCAGCTTGGAAAAACAAAGACAGCGGCACACGCTGTGTTGTAAATACAGGCCTTTCACACGCAGCTGCCATCCAGATTATTATTCCAGAGTGGGGGAGGAGAGACTGGTCAGGATTTGTATTTAAAGTGTACTCATGTTTTGACTTCAAGTTTCACTAACAACCTTGCTGGGATGAATAAATAGAGGGCAATAAAGTATTTGACTTTTCTGGAAAAACTGATGCATCTAGCGTCTATCTGTCCTGATTGAGAAGCATTGGTCAAGCGATCTCTGATGCCTCCGACAGCATTTACATGACCAAACCCTTAGACTTTATAATTGCTTTAACACTTTTATGAGTCTACTTTAATCACTGATTTATAAGTACTGTACGAGAAGGCCAATTTATGATAATTATCGCACATGTCTAGCAGAACTACAAGTCCTAGCAGAACAATGTGAAAAACCTAGTTCCAGTCCAGTGTACCCCACAGTCAGAGTGAATTACTGTGCATTAGCCAAAACACATTGCTGCAGATGAAAAACACATTATATGTATTTACATCCAACATTTTAAATACCATAACAGTTAATCACAGGAGGACTGTGAAACTGACCACACCATTTGACGTTTTGTATCTTTGCTTACAGGGTCCTTCAGGACCTCAGGGACCAATTGGGTATCCAGGACCTCGTGGCGTGAAGGTAGGTGTCGATATTATGTCCCTAGGCTTTTGTTTTGTGGGGGGGGGGAGGCTTGAATACAATAAGCATGGAAGGCCATCACTAAATATGACACTATAAGAGTAACTTCATTGTCTGACCTAAAGCACTGAAACTGATGTAATTGGATCTGAAATAGTATTAGTCAGAGAATGGCAGCTTCCTTCTGAGGCTTTTACCCTGGAAAAAATATAGTTCTTAGGTTTCTGTGGAGGGCACAAAAAAACAGTCATGCCTGGTGTTTAAATCTACAGAGGGGAGAGGGTTGCATGGGTGCGGTAGCTTGATTGGCTGTTAATAACTTTGCAACTTCCATTTCCAAGTAAATAAATGGTTACAGGAATGCAATACGGGTGGATCAAAGCCCTATAGAACTTTAAACAACCTGAATTGGGTAATACACATGGGGAATAGTGACTTTCTATGGTCGAGTATGGCACTGAACCTCCTCCTGATCTACTTTATTGGCACAGCGCCATGTAGGCTGCCCTTACTATCCAATAGCAAGGAACAAAAGACAGGAAGGGGACAGTACTTGACCAGTAAAAGTTGCCATTTCCACCCCAAGATTGGTGGAATTATGTATACAACAGGTCACATGTAGTGTTATGGGGGAGTAATGGATATAAAACTATGGTGAAGATTTATAAGGTTATGTTGGCAGATGCAGGTAAGTAAAAGCTTCAGGAGAACACAAAACTGTGCAGCTGTTGAGTTACCACAAGTTCCAGCATACTTTTACAGGACTCGCTGGGGCATAGAGTAAGAGAGGACAGCCTCCACTTGCAGTAGACCCCCTGTGGCATTAGAGAGGTTAATTGTGGCGCTGACTAAGGTCAGCCTGTGCAGAAAGTGATGGCAGCCTTCCTCCAGCTTCCTCTCCTGGCTGTACTTTGCTCTTCTCCATTAGGGAGACATTAAGAGTGTGAAGAGCAAAATATCTGCCTTTCGAGCTGTCATTAAACTAATTGAATTATCCTGCACTGCCACAGCGAATGGGGCTGCATAACAGCAAAAATTCTCCTCCAAAGTGTCATAATTAGATTTGCTAAAGTGGAGATGGATGGGTGTACTGCCGGGCTTAATGGAGACAATTTACTACTTTATATATTTATTTTCTTGTGTGTCAGAAGCCATTTGCTGTCATTGTGCACTATAAGCTCAATCACAGATGGAATTATAAATGGACACACCATGCAATTGCTGAGACTTTCCAGTTCAGGATGGGGATTAAAGGGCTACTCTGAGATATTCTTACCAGTGTGCAAAGACAAATTACAGGGACCTGTGAGAATAGACTCCTCCATCCCTCAGAGCTAGTCTATAATGATTATCCTACCCTCAAAGGTACCAAAATACATGAGAGCATTGTTATACAATGTCGATACATAGACCATTATCTACTTCAAATTGAACTCAGCATAAAGCACAAGAGAAATGGTACTATGCAGTGTCTCTACTGAGAATTAATCTCAGCATACAGAACAAAGGCGATGGCATTGTGCGCTGTCCATGCACACAGAATAAGAACAAATACTGAGAATTACACCCAGTGTACAGGACAAGAGAAGTGGTATTTTTCAGCATCTATACACACAGAATAAGAACAGATACTGAGAGTTATATTGAGTGTACAGGACAATAGAAGTTGCACTGTGCTGCATCAATATATACAGAATAAAAATAGATCCTGAGCATTACAGCCAGCATACAGAACAAGGACACTGGCATTGTGCAGCATCCATGCTTACAGAATAAGAACAGATACTGAGAATTACACCCAGCGTACAAAACAAGAGATCCGTGCAGCGTCTATATACTGAGCATAGGGAAACAAAATTGTGAATTCCATCAACATTTTCATTATCCTTAAAGGGAAAACTAAAAAAAAAAACTGCTGCACAAGCCATTCTGTAATGTAATGTTATTAAAAATTACCTTCCCATTAAAAACTGCAGCAGCTGTAATTTTCTAAAACTGTCAAAAAAGTGCAATATGGCGTCCCGTAGGCATTCTGCGCTCAGTTGGTGTGAAATGTCACCTTCTGATTCTGTGATTGGCTGACTGATTTTTCTCAGCAGTCTGCACTGAGATACAAGTAATATTTTAGGCATCCCTTGCAAAAGGATTTTTTTTTTTTGTTGGTGAGATACTCTCTACGGGTTAATTACTACTAAAAGGGATGCAGACACTGCACTTTCGTCATTACAACACAGAAAGTCCACCAGCTGATTATAATGAACATAGACCATCCCATTCAGGAATCAGTTTGTAAAGGACATGCTGAGACAAATGGTTATTTCTTTAAAAAAAGAAGCAGATTGGAATCTGCAACAAAGTTTGTTAAATTCCTTACAATGTTCATTGATCACCCAGAAGGGATTGATTTTTTTTTTCTCAACAAAAGTGAAATTACTCTATTAGATCAGATCAGGTTCCAGGGCCCAGAAATCTGCCTAGAGGATACATTGAGCGATACACCCTGCAGAGTTCCATCTCCAGAGCACCAGTCAATGATATCCGAAAATAAGGAGAAGCTGTACAGTTATTTGAGAGCATTGTGTAATATGCACACCTCACCAGGAGAGTGCGCAGTGATTGTAGCATGATTTACAGAAGACATTATTTCAGTTTGAGGACCTATGCTGAATACTTCTCATGGCTCTTGTATAAACATCTTCCAAGTACTTAACAAGCACAGGGAGGCTTTATAATTACGGTCTTAAAACCTCTGATAATGTTTTCACTTTCAGAAAGCTTGGCTTGCCTGATTTGTGCAATCTTTACCGAACAGATAGGAAAGGATAATTTGTGACGTCAGCTGTGTTACATTGTATTTCCTATCATACTTCTGTCAGCAGCTGGCAGATTTCTGCAGCTTAGACATCACTCACTTTCACCAAAAAACATAAAAAAATAGACAATGATGGCTGTGACAAGGATCCAGTACTTTAAATAAAAGGAGTGGAGGGAATGCCTTTTACATTTCACACTCCCATTTCTTACAGAAAATTGGGAGAATAAGTACTGCTTCATAATGTTAAAAACTGTGTTGCACCTCAAAACTTGATGAATCAGAAAACCTGTGGTCCAAAAATCATTACTACCCACATACAAGGGCTTGCCAATATAATTACTTATGGGACAAATGCCTTTATCAGCCTTCAGTCTACAAATCTGAACTAGCAATTCCTAGTCCAGTTTTTAGGAGACAGCAGGAGATATGTAAAATGATTTTTTCCCCCCGAAAACTTGCTTGATTTCCCTGGCTATAAGAAGAGAAGACTGTTAGAAGTTTGTTAATATTGTCAAGAAGGACAAAAACCTTGATGGATACTACATGGTGGAAAGTAGTTCATGTAGTTTTCTATGAAGTTTGAGTTGTCAGCAGAACAGAAATAGAGGGAAAACCTTCCAATAGGTATGCTCATTTCAGTGACAATTGTCAAGAGGTGTCCCTTTAAATTGTCATAAGGAAAAAGTGTCTCAGATACTGTTTTGCCTCAAAGTAACCAGTTAAATCAATACCTGGACTAGAAAATAACAAGTAAACAATGCAAGTTAAAATATACATCTTTTCAATTGTTTTGGAATAAGACAATAATAATAATAATCATTTTAGACAGTTCTTCCCTCGCTGATTGCTATTATTATAGTTTATGTAAACCCTAACTTTTCTTATTTGTTGCCTTTTGGTCTGATACATTGAAAAATGTTGTTATCTCTGTTATATAACATATAAAAAATACCTGTTAGCTCTTTAGTTTTTATCTCAGACTACAGAATAATAATAGTGTTCATTGTAGGGATGCACATGACCGGATTAAGCACGGGCCTGGTGCTGAGGATTTAGCAATACATTATGCAGCAGTGCAGAATACCACCAACTATAGAGTACTACAAATCCCAGTAATACATTACACAGAAATGCAGAATACCACTAGCTATAGAGGACTACAAATCACAGCAATAAATTATACAGCAATGCAGAATAATGCCACTAACTAGAGAGGACTACATATCCCAGCAAATACATTATAAAGCAATGCAGAATGGCACAAGCTAAAGAGGACTATAAATCCCAGCAATACTTTGTAAAGATCGATGAAAACGAAGCGCTAAGGGTGAAAATATGTGCAAAAAAGTGAAAGCGATCCAAACCTATTATGTGTATTTAAAACAAGGCTGAGATTCAATACAACCTATTATAATATAATCAATACAGATAAACTCATATAAAAGTCTTATAAAACCATCGAAAAAAAAACGTCAAGAAAGTTTTCTAAATGTAGAAAGTTCGGTGAACAGTAGGCACCGTGTGCAGACAAACAAAAATAACGGTGTGTGTGAAGGTGGTCCGGTCTGCCCCTCTCGGGTGGGTACTCACCAAAAGGGAAGTTGATAAGAAGCTCTTAGTGAGTAGTAGCGTAATTGGACTTGGGCACAGACATATCTTCTACGGGTCACGGCAGACAAACACTTGGAGATTCTCCTCTATGACGCTGGCTGTGTCTCAGGAATGAGGAATCCGATCCTTTCAGCCACGATATTAACAAAGTGCTTTGCCGTTATCCCACGGAGTTTTAAGGGCAAACAAAAGAGAGAACCTTCATAGCGCGATAAGTAAAAGCATAAATTTTTATTCAAAAAATAGGCTTACAAGGCAGAGAATTTCGGCCGACTAGAGCAGCTCAGGAACAAACATAAAAGCCTCGTGTCTGATAAATTGACATCTGCCCTCCTTGACGCGTTTCGTCATGTGACTTCCTCAAAAGGAAGGAAGTCACATGACGAAACGCTGCAAGGAGGGCAGTTGCTTTGGGTTCACAGCCTGATGTCTCTAGGGTCTCAGGAGAGCTATGCAGGCTCTCAAGAGGCTGCTCAGGTTCTTAGTTGGCCAGTGCGGCTTTCAGGTGGCAAGTGCGCCTCTCAGGGGGCCAGGTGGGCTCTTAGGTGGTCAATGCGGGCTCCAGGTGGTCAGGGCGGGCTCACAGGTGGTGAGGGCAGGCTCCAGGTTGTCAGAGCGGGCTCCAGGTGGTCAGGGCGGGTTCCCAGGTGGTCAGGGCGGGCCCCTATGTTAATCCAGACCTAGGGATGAGGATACTGGGAGGGTTTGAGTAGTTTAGCAAAAGGCGACTGACTTCACTCAATCCAAAAAAATGCTATGTGTTGTCAGCCAACAATAGGACTTCGGAGTGGAGTGCATTTCTGGTAGATCAATAGGTTTTTTTCTGTGCTTACAGGGTATTTAAAGCGATAAAACATGTATTGCAGGGATGTATTGCATATGTTTTTTTATTTTTTGTTATTTTACCCTGCCACACTTTTATTGTTCATAAAACACAAAGATCTACTGCAGCTATGTACTGAATGAGGGAAGTTATAACAATACCATTTTGTCAAGTGAAAAGATAAAACAGGGATTAAGACCCTTGCCTAATAGCACTTAGAGTATTAAACAGAATAGGACTTATTAACCAAAGTGTCTGAAATAAGGGAGGAACCTACTAATACACTAGGAGTTGAGTGACATTAGAGTCTTAATAACATCTCTAGGTCCTGGTAACCTAATAAAAAGTGTGCCCTGCTGGTTACTGGTGATGGATACGACTGGTGTGTAAGGTAAACTTGAGTTTGGATGCACGTTGTCCTGCTTATATTCATTAGAGTCTCCTCCTCTTATGTTTTGACAGGGTGCTGATGGAATCCGAGGCTTGAAAGGAACAAAGGGAGAGAAGGTAACTCACTAAGTGTCATTACCAGCAGTTTGGGCGGGTAAGTAGGATCTGTGTGTGCGCAGGGGGGGAGTGTTTGGGCTTCATGTGCTCTTTAGGAAAGTAGGAGCTGAGCATAAAAGTGGTGCATCTGAAATCAACGTTATTCCCATTGTCACAAATCAGATCATTCTTCCATTAAAATAAGGGAAGTACAGTTTGGGTGGTTACTATGCACAACACAGACCGTTAATATTTCAAACTGAAAAGTAGGCCAATTCCTTAAATTTCAGATGTAAATCCTAGTGGCAATACACAATGGTAATGGGAAAAGAGTTTCCAAGGCTAGATCTTGCTGGGAGCATAGATAATGGACACAGGTGTATGAGGGGGTGGGGTTGTCTGGGGCGAAGTAGCTGGCATAATATGAAAGCCACTAAGAAAATGGTCAGGATGAAGATATACAGAGCAGGTAAGCCTAGGGCACTTGTGTAACATTACAGACGATGATGGATGAGAATACATTGAAGATCTGAAAGACATTATACAGCACAGACAGAGAGATATGGCTCCCAAGACCTTGCGGAGCTGTTTGTCCCAGCAGCCTGTTATAACCCTTCTCTATTAATAGAAGGAAGTGTTCTAGAAGCTGTTTGTATTCCTTGGCAACAAACGTCAACCCAGAACCTATTGCTCTCTACAGTAACTTCCCTGCCACCCTCAGTGCCCATGGAACCCTGGGCATGCCATTAATCCCCTGCATTGCAGCAGAAATGCACACAGCTGTACTGTAATAAAGCTGCAGAGAATTGCACACCACATGTAACTAATTTTTTCTCTCCATATTTCCCTGGACTTTAGGGTGAAGATGGATTTCCTGGATTTAAGGGTGACATGGGACCTAAAGGAGACAGAGTAAGCACTTCAGTCATATTTTTGTCAGCGTAAAGTTTATTCTGTCCTTCTATTGAAAAAAGCATGGACACATTAGGGTGTGTAAAGGTTCACACTGCTATGCATGAAACGATCCATCATTGGAATTCCATATACAGGAAAATATAGACAGCTATTGTCTACATTTTTCCCATGGTAACAAGCAAATCTGACTTCCAGAGTTAAAGACATAGAGAAATAAGACAGATAATAAATACAACCTGACCAGGGCGGGGTGGTCCCAATACCTGCTCAGTGATGTGCTGTTTAGAGAGTGAGATTGCCGCTTGGATACTTGCAGAAAATCTCTTCTTCATTACTTAAATAATCTTTTGCAATTTTATGTTATAAAGTGCGAATGAGGCGGTGCAACTCTTCTGACAAATGTGTGCCAATGAATACCCTATCCTTTAAGAAACTCTGGGTGACGGTGGGATCTTGCCAAGATCAGTATCACTGGCTGTAGAACAGACAGATATACTATGCTTTTTTGTTTGCAGAATGAAAGGGGAATGCAGGAGTAACCTTTTACAAGGGACACAGAGAAATGGGCAGCATAATAGGTCACAGTCCAACATGCAATCAAATAATATGCAGAGTAGGGAGTGCAAGTCTCCCAGTGCCATGTACGCTGCTTTATACCTTTTTCGGTATGAACAGTAGGATGGTGCTGAGGTTTTAATCTCCAGGACACCCCTATTTCTGTTTCAGACACCCACATCTAGTTCAACTAGGACAGCAGAGCCAATCAGACAACAGTGACATGGCATTAGATTATAATATTTATCGTATGTGTTGGCTCTCCAGGGGTTAGGATTAGGGCAAGCATGTCAAACTGGATGTTTTTTTTGGGGGGGCTATAAAAAAAAGCCCAAATCTAGCCATAATGTTTTATTTAAATTTTTTTTGGTTTGTTAAAAGTAGGAATGGGTTAGAATATCTGACACAGTTTTGTTACTGCCATCTGTGTCCCTCCCTGGAGAGATTACCCCTCATTTCCTGTCAGGACAGTCAATAGCGTGAGGATGGATACAAAATTCTGACAATACTTTTATTCACGTCGGTTGCAACAGCACCGCTAATTTATCTTACAGGTGTCAGAGGGGCTGGAAGGGAGGCATAACCTACCCAATGGGGACAGACAGAATAAAAAAACCTAACAAAGTATAGCTCTATCCAACAAATACAAATCTAGAGGTAGGCTTTAGATTTAATGAGGGCCCAGCTATACTCCAGCTGCCAGTTCAGTTCCCTTATGTAAGTTTACAGCTGAAAATTTCAGAAAATGTTTTATGGTCCCTTTCTCTTTCGGATAAAATGTTGTGAGTTGTAAGTGCTACAGTAAGGTTAACTGCCAAAGTATTGTGATCATTTTCTAGAACTAAGTAGGGGCTCATGTTGACTGGCATTGTTTTCCTGCATCTGACATGCATTTGGAACGCTTGACAAATGCAGGTCAGCAAAATCCTTTTGACTTTAATTGAGCAGTACACATGACAGTTCAGAGGCTGCATTTGACCTGCTTTGCACTGTACTGCATTTCTTTTCACGCAGTGTGTCATATTGAGTTATGATGCAACTGCATGCAAAGCGGTACAAACGCAGCCTTTTCTTGTCAAACACTGCATCTATCATCGAACACATGTATTTGCATCTGAATGGCAAATGCAGCATTTGACACGAACGTACTTTGACTTGAGCACTATGTGTGGCCCTCTGTAGACATAATGCAGCCCCCTTGATGATCAGTACTGCTCATAACTGCCCACTGTTTCAGCTGAGTGTGACATGTCTGGGTTAGGGTTATTTGGGGTTAGAAATAATTAGGGATATGGTTATTAGGGGTCAGGAGTTATTACAGCTGAACTCCAGCCCTACCTTTAGTCTTAAACAATTGTGCAGACTCCTCTCCTATACTGAAATAGCTTACTCTGATTTCACTGCACACTGTAAGCTGCTCACAATGTGCATTAGAAGCTGCAGCAAGTCAGATAGTGGCTGCCTTATTTTCTGGCTGGAAGACATTTAGTATCATCTAGCTCTTTTCTTCTCAGCCTTACTGTCAATGGCCCACCCCTTACATTGGATTTTAGTTCTTTCAATCATGGAGGCTCAGCATCACATGTGGGCATTATGTGGGGTGGTCTCCATGCAAATGCAGCCTGCCTAGGAATGCCCACTCCTTCAGACTGACATCAACCCATCAAAGCTTTTTGATATTTGCATAACCCCTCCCAAGAACCAGCCTACTGCTTGCAACAGGGCTGAGAGGAGTACGGAGGCAGGGTGCTGTGATGTTTTCAGAAAACAGCTGGCCCCTTACACCAGCCAAGATGTGCTTGACTTGAACAATAATAATTGCAATGATATAACTGCTTCTATAATAAGGTATGTAATGAAAACAGAAAACTTTTGTTTGAAAAGTTAATTAGCATGTTAATCAGGTGGAGCAAATGAGGTAAAAGAGCAGCTACACACACAGTAGGGAAAGAAGAAGATGACATGGACTCCAAAGTTATGAACTTGAAGAGTTGAAAATATTTCAAACATCTAACAGGGGACTTGGGATATATGGGTGTGTTGGAACATTAAGCCTTGCTAGAGCTTTTGTTAAGAAACCAAAACCAAACATTTCTGTACAGATCGTGTCAAAGAAGCTCTACAGAGCTGTGCACGATACTGCATAATTTACTAACCTCCAGAGCAAAGCTATTTACCAGTACTCATTCTGTTGTTTTAGAGGTTATATATTATTTAATATAGGTTAATACAGTGTGTTTAGTGGAAGAGGTAGAAATATATCAGTGCTTAGAAAGAGAAAATATGGATTCCATGTCGCACACAAACTTTCATTATTTACAGCATCTGCACGATTCCACCTCTCTGGGTTCCGCAGTGAATAATTGAATAGAGCATGAAAAAGCAGCCCTGTACAGTTCAGACTGGAGGGAATATTGTCACGTATTTGCTCGCATGCTGTGTGTCCCAAGCGGAGGCATTGAGTGCCTTATGTCCATGAACTGTGCATGCCACAGTGCATTCTAGATACCTCACAGCACACAGACCGAGTGACAGGCCTTATAATCCCCCAACAAATGTCTGCTAATAAAGCTATTAAAGTACAGAAAGACCGTTCACCAACCATTGCAAAGCGAATTGTGGCCGGTTTTAAACTGGTAATCAAATTTATTCCACTGTTTTGAGCTTGAGAAGGTTCATCATAAAGCAATTTAGTGTTTGTTGGAATGCAGATAATTAGATTGGTTTTGTTTGTATTTGTAATGCAGGCAAAGTAATATTAACATATTGCCTCGGATAAATGAGACGCTGATAATGGCTCAGGAGGGACTTGCTGGTTCATGCATTATCGCACTTATTTTCATTCACATAGTTTAACATTTTTTTAAAAACATGATCATTGTCACAAAAATGTATTTGTACACGGCCACTGATGTGATCCATGTCTGCAGCCTCTAAATTTACCCTCTGGTAGGATTTCATCTTTGGAGTCCACCGTGGCTCTGTCCAATGAGAGTTTCTTTGCAGTCATGCAGGATTCCAGGAGCCAAAAAGCACTGATACTTGTTGCCTTTGATCGTAGAGGCCTTCTGCATGCCCCTTCACCTTCTCCTGCAGAATCTCTATTTGATCTACCTGCAGTATCTGAGCCTTCAGCCGCCAAGACTGATGCAGAGCCTCTTCAGTCCTTGACAGATGAAACTGTATTTGCGGAGTCACAGTCTTCTGCCATTACTCCCAAACTAAAATTGATTGTTTTGGCTCTTATTGATGTACACAACTAGGGGCGTAACTAGAAATCACAGGGCTCCATAGCAAAATTTTGTATGGGGCCCTGTGATTTTTAGTTAGGCCCACCTGATAACCCAAATAGCCCACCTGAGAGTGACCCTGAAGAGCCCACCATAGACTCTCTATGGTGGGCTCTGCAGGGTCTCAGGTTAGAGGGTTTGACCAGCCCACCTATCAGCCCTGATCCGCTGTCCGCCTCCTCCACGGTCGCTGGCGGGTCCCGCCTCCTCAGTCACTGGGCCCGGCTCCTCCATGGCCGGCCCCGCCACCTCCATCGCTGCTGACGACGGGCCCAGCCACCTCCTCCGCAGCTGCTGGTTGTCACTGCACACATCTCCGACAAGTTGTTAGTGATGTGAATAGTGGTGCATTCCTCCTCGCAGCCGCCAGTGACAGCCAGCAGCCTGAGATGCCATAGCGACCCAGGCGACCCGCACGGCATAAGAGGGAAGTCCTGGCTGGGCCCCCCTGCCCCCCGGGCCCATAGGGGCTGCCTGGGTCGCTATGGTGATTGTTCCGCCACTGTACACACCAACTTGATTATCGGCCTGTAGCCTCTACCGGTGTTGTCTTTATTCTAGGATCCTTCAGCGTTCTCAAGTCCACCAAGACTTTCCCGGTGCCCCTGCTATTCTCTGTCTAACTTCATAAAGATTGGAAACATCTTGACGAGTCTTAAAAGAGCATCCACCATCCCAGTGTGGGATGTATCTGTCTTTAAGGATCCCACCAACAAGTAATTGGCCCTTTCTAGAGCTCTGTTCTTCATGGCAGGTCCTGCACTGCAACTTATGTTAGCCGTAACCTTGATCTGTCAGACCCTGACTGACTTCTTCACTGTGGGTGTTTTCCAAGATGATGGCCCCTGTGTTAGCCTTGTTGCATTCTCAGGGCCCTCCCATCCCACTCCTTGTCAGGCTGGGGAGGAGTCCTGGGCATCTTTTCAAAGCAAGGAACTTGGACGTTGGAGGAATCTCATCCCCTGATTAACATTTTCAAACTTAAGGTGATTTACGTGTCCCTGCATAACTGGACTTCCTGTGTGGAGGGTCATCTGATCTAGACAAGGTGGTGTTGAGGCTTTTTACCTCAACCAGGACATCATTCTTCTGTCCCTTCAGTTCATTAGGAGATCTCCCTCCATTGCCTATATGTTGTTAGGGCAGTGGTTTTATCCTTCTGTCACTACATCCTTTATAAAGACTGATATTCTTTTTGGCATTCCTGATGGTCTCCATAAGGGGTGAATCAGGTTCACGTTCCACCATTTCTCAGTTGGTCAGACAGATCATCATTCAAGCTTTTAGTCTGTGCAAGGCACAGTGCTGCTTGAGTCTTTGGCATCCGGCTGTTGTTTCTCATATTTTTAAGGCTTTCATCTGGTCTTCTATTTATACAATCTCCAATTTTGTTCCAGATAGATGTTCAGGTCTTATCTGATGCCAGTTTCGGGTGTAAGATCCTTCAGGTGGCTCTTAGAGCTTTCTTGTGGGTCTGTTAGCATTTTGTTTGCCACATCCCCTCAGTTGGACTGCTTTTGGTTCTCCCTGACAACATAAGACATCCTGTGCCCTTAAAGGACAAGAAATAAAATAGGATTTTTGTGAAGTCTGTAAAATCTATTTCTTGGAGTTCATTGAGGGACATGCTTGGAGTACGAGGGGTTTATTGGCCTGACCAATTTGTTTTGTTTGCCAGTGTCCAATCCTCCTGTAGCCGGCAGTATAACCCGACATTATAAGACTTCCTGTGCCCCTCAAAGGACTCCAAGAAAATAATTTTACAACGTTATGCATTCACATACATTTAAAGTGTAGTTTTTTGTTGTTGTTTTGATCCCCTTTATAAAAGGGTTTAATCCCTTGGTAGGTTATTTTCTTTTGTTGTCTCTGTACCTTAGGGGACATTTCCCTTCACTTCCTTTCCCATATACAGTTAGGGGAAATCTCCCAAAGTGTGGGGAATTCTGCTCTTAGATAGTTGTCCTTGGATCAGATATCCCCAATTGAAGGTTTCCCTTCACCTCTTATTCTGGGGACAATTCTATGATTTTGGATTCTCCCTTCACTTTTTCTCACTGACAATAGTCAGCAGGAAAATAGAGGGGTGAATCTCCTCAGTGGGGACACATACCACAATTAAAACTTGACAGAGGGTCTAACCCTTCCCCACTCTATCCAAAGCTACAAATGTTTTATTTTATTTTTTGCCTATAGATACACTTTAATTTTAAAACTGTTGTAAATATTCTATAATCCCTTGTATATTTCAACTTTCTATAGTGTCGCTAATAAATTTACATAACACATTTTCCTGCACAAGGTTACAGAGTAACGTTTGCAAACGCTCGTATTAAAGTATTGAATGAAATTTAAGAGCAGATAAACTTACATTAAAGGCAATTTGTATTACTTGCAGCTACAAAGCAGACTGCTATTACAAAAACAATAATGCCCATATGTATTTATTAGAAAAAGAACCTCAAACCTGTGCTGAGAAAATGTGTAGACTGTGATTTATCAACTCCTTTTGAAAATGTTGTTTGCCAGGCTGTTATGTTCAATACCTCAATAGCTCTACATGAATTGAAGCCAGAGACAGCCAGGCAGCTAGCATTTACAGGCACAGGACAGTAGTGTATACCAGTGTATTCATCATGACAGGTTCACCTAGAGTACAGACTAGGATTTTTCTCACAACCTGCCTAACTGTGGAATCAATATATTAATTAACTGATAACCCACTATAACCTGTGCACTGCGTGGAGATGTTGACTTGGTAGAATCAATGGTAATATCTCACCACTTGCTCTTGTAATTAATTATTTTGTGTATTATTTGTGCTCTGGTAGGGGCAGACAGGCACCAGCAATTAAAAGGTGAAAATGCAGATTTAATTATCATCCTGTTTAAAGACCTTCCAATCACAGGATGTCACCTGGGCAATTTAAAAATCGTGATTTGTTTCCCTCTTAAATGCCATGCTGGGCAGTAGAGATCAATGAAGCTCATCTGTCTTTTGTAAAATAATTAATTTTATTCTAGGTAACATTAAGGTCAGTCCAGTCAAAATCTGATATTGACGGTGGCTGGTGCTCCAGTGGCAAAATTCCCAGCTCTTCTCTGCTGTTCCATGCTTTGGGTTGTGGGTGGGCCTCGGCTTCTCGCTTATAATGCAGGACTGCTGTTCCTGCATTTTATGTAATGATGCCAGTGAAGAGAAGCTGTTTGGGGGACCAGTCGTGTAGCTAAGAAAAAGCTTGAGAAAAAGATGATGATTTAATCCTTGCAGTGCGGGGGAAGCCCCACTGAGAGGGTAACTTGATTTTAACTGAACTTCAGATTTGAGGAGTAGAGCATGTTCAGTTTGCAAAGTGAGTGTTCACATTACAAATTAATTTTTACATAGCTTAGTGAATGGGGTATAGATGTGTTCACTTTAAATACCCAATCTTGTGCTCGCACATAATTGGATAATTGATGCCAGCATAGCTTCACCTCACAAATATGATTGGATATTTAATGCAAAGTTAGTTTTTCTCGTAGCTTTACCTCATTCACTAAGCACAGTGAAAATTCCACTTGAAAAGTGAAAATATTCTACTCCTTTAGTAAATCAACCCTAATAACTCCTTCTCTCAATTCAATACAGAACTTTAAAAGGTGGAAAAAGGATCACCTCATAATATCGATCAGTGCTGTTTGAGTGTTATTTGTAGAGAGGTTTATAAATGTTTTCTTTTTTTCCCCGCTAATATTAATGGAGTGATGTCCTTTTGCAGCCATAGTAACTGGATAGTCGCGTGACTATCCCTCATCAGTGACATAGAACCTGACACTGAGTATTAACTGCTTTCTGTTCTGTTTGTGTTCCACCAGGGTGAAATTGGTGCATCTGGTCCTAGAGGTGAAGACGGTCCTGAGGGTCCAAAGGGGCGCGGCGGTCCTAATGGAGAAACTGGCCCACTTGGACTGGCGGGTGAAAAGGTATGATTGGTATAATTATTAAAAAATCAGGCTTGTAGGAGAGATTGGCTGCCTTCCAAGGTAATAGGTGGGGAAAGGAAGGTGGTTCTTACCCTCCTTATATTATGTAGCCATAAACTGTAGCATTTTTAGTATATGTGTTTTAACTGCATATTTAGCTGTACAGCTGGAAGTTGCCCTTTATTAAAAATGTATTATTCATGGAAAATGAAGGATGTGCACCATAATTTTGCAGAGCACCATTGTTCTCTTTACCAAAAAGAGGTAATGGCAGTTTTTCATGTGAGGTCAGAGGGTGCTGTTAAACATTTTTTTTATTAAACTCCTAACAATCGCTTTCGTTTCTTTAAGTGGGAGAAGCTTTACCAAGCTTAAAATGAGCAGAGGGGTTGAGGAGTGTCAGAGAGATGGAGGGAGATTTTATAATTGCGTGTATGTAGATAATGGTAGGAAGGCAAGGTGAAGCTCTTACCACATCATTAAAAATATTTTCTATGGCTAACATATGCCTGGTGCAGAACACAGACCTGAGGGAAAGCACTGACACAATAATTGGCTCACATACACACTCCCCTTTCCCAATTTGGCAGGATTTTTGAAGTAAGCATTCGTGCTTCCTAGTTGCATTATAATGAAGAGAACTTCAGAGATGGAGATCCATCGCATATTCACTTCCCTCTCATATCTTTTTTCTTCTGACAGGTAGACGAGCGAAGGCTGGAAATCTTGCAATTATAGCAGTGATGGGATATTTGCATTTTCTTGTCTTGTAACTCTAGAAGGGAATCTCATTGTTAATGTGGATGTGGAGCTGTTTACCTACTCCTTTCATGTCAGCGGGGAGATGTTTTTGCTATGAATGGTTTTCCATACGTTCTGTCGGTGCAATGCTCAGTTAAGCTTGTTGTAGTCATGAGACAGTGGTTGGAGGATCCAAAGTGACCATTATGGTTAGAACGTGCAGACTCATCAACTGTGCATGTCTATTCGTCGTGCAGACATTTGCACTAACAATATTATCACAAGGGAGATAAGTGAGATGCTCCATGATTAATTGGCCCAGAGGTTTCTGCAGAAGTTGCGATTTGTTAGTTTGGCAAGATAAAATATCCTGATAATTTATGGAACACAATTGAAATGAGAAAAAAGTGAATCTCCTCTTAAGCAGTTTTAACTGAAACAGGTTCCCCCATTGGAAGATTTCTCTTACCTCCTGTTCCAGTAACACCCACTGCATTTTCCCATCACTTCTTATACTAGTGACAGTGTTCACCAGAACAAATAGAGAGGTTAAATCTCCCTAAGTTAGCTAACCCTGACTCCGCCCCCAGCCCTAAACCTGAGGGTAACCTTTCACTATTACATCTATACATATTATCACTTCAACTGAACTAGTATCCATATATTTCACACAAGCACTGAAATACAATGATGAATTAGCCCCAGTGTGGGTGGCTGCCTGTTTACATACTATACTATCTGACCATTTTTGGTGGAATGAGGTTGCCATCTTAACACAGCTCGTAGGTTACCTAGTGAATTAGTGTTATTGTTAGAGCTAGTAGATTTATCAACAATGGAGGAGACTTCATATGAAATTGCTACATTTCCGAGAGGCGGAACAGCCATAATGCCAAAAAATCTGCAGATGCACATGGACATTATCTAATTCTGTCCCAATCAAGGCATTGTTGTATTTTATGTAAAGTCCACATGTGTGATCTGGGTATTTGTTCCGGCCCATTTAGTCTCTACATTTTTAGCAATAAAAAGTAAATTCAGGTTACATTAGGACTGTAGGTGGTAATATGTGCAGAAAGAGATCATTTTATTCTGCTACAAAGATTTTAACAGTGTTGTCTGCGATAAAAAATTGGTGCGTTTTATATGGGAGACAAGGCTTTTATTGTGTGATATTTTTATATGTGGGTATTCTTCTACAAGTAATGTCAATATAATGGTATTTATCTCAAAAAATTAAGTTGGTTGGCTTTTATATTGATCCTTTTGTTGCAGTGCTTCCTGAACCAATATTCAGAGGACGTATACAGATCAGGAGTTTTTCCTTCACATGCTGCATGTCTGTCCCGGATCACTAAATTATTGAGATAAGAGGAACAACATGATAGCCAGGCAACTACCATTTTCATGTAGAGGCCAGCAGTGGCAGCTTCTGTATTTCTGCCAGGTTTCCTTTAAACTATCTATGTTGATAGCCAGAGAGATCAGAATGGTTAATCATACGATATCAGACAAATTACAATATCTCTGCCAGTTGTGTGCACTTGTTATTTACCAATGTGAAGTTGGACAGAGAAAAGCTGGAACAGCATTCAGTAATTTGACATCTCCATTTTGGGAATGTGTTAAATGCTAATTCAGAAGGGAACCCGTCGGAAGAGATGCCACTGAAGCGTATGACACATGAGTGGATAGACGCTGCAGTCTCTGCTGTACTCAGCGTTTGCCAAAACAAATCTTTACAAAATGAGTTGACTTTGTCGTAAATTTGTATGTTTTGTCAGGTTTGGGGTGATATTTCTACCACTCATCTTTTTACAAACTGCAGCTCCTGATTAGAAGTGATTTAACTCATGTTTGTCCTTTTCAGGGAAAACTTGGTGTTCCAGGATTGCCCGGATACCCAGGAAGACAAGGTCCAAAGGTATCTCTGCACAGCTCCAAAGTGATATTGTAAATTATATTGTAAAGGTTTATATCCTCTGAAACATTCTATTAATAATGGTGGCTCCACTGGGGAAATTTCCCCTCAGTTCCTGTCCCAGTAAAACATTTAACAGCAATAAAAGCCAGAGAAAAAACAGAGGATCTAGTTGTTCCTCACTTCATCCACAGTTCAGCATTTTTAGCAGGGGTTATGCCTTAATCATATGTTTTGGCACTTACAAATTCATGACAATTAATTTTTTTTAATAGCAAACTGCACTAACCCATGGCACCCAATTGGGAGTCGCCTTTCTTCTCCAAAGTGAGAAATAAAAAAGACAATCTGTCGAGTTCAACCAATAGAAAATAAACAAAGAATTAATAATACATCCATATATAGAACCCTATACTCCATGTTGTTCCACAGGAAAGCAAAAAACCCTAATAAATCATGGTCCAATTTGCACCAGTAGGGGAGAAAAATTCTTCCTGGTCCCCTAAGGCAAGCAAATATTTCCTGGATCAACAATCTCTGGTGTTATTACTTCTAAATGCTAATATCAAGTTATATTCTGTGCATTTAGGAATGCATCCAGCTTTTTTTTTTAAACAATTAACTAAGCTGGTGATTACTTCCTGAGGGAGCCTGTTCCACATCTTCACAGCTCTTACCATAAAAAAACCTTCCCATATGTGGAGGTTTCTTCTGATTGGTTGACAGGTGTATGCACACAAATTTACTAACCTAGTTTCCAATGTCCATGCCAGGATTCAATTTTTATAAGCAGTTTTATTTAAAAAGGTTTTGTGTTTCTGGTCTGTATCTAAATCACCTATGAAGGCTTTCTCAGCATTGTGTTGTGTACTGGAGCTGGTTTTATCTATTAAGGTACTAATTATTTTTTCATTCTCTTGTTGCACAAAGGGTTCTATCGGCTTTCCAGGATTCCAAGGAGCAAATGGCGAGAAAGGCACAAGAGTAAGTCCGCATTGCCACCCTGTGTTTCACATTATTATATATTATTGATTGTCCGAATTATAATAATAAGAGTAGGAAACTCAGGGCCCCAAAGAAACTAAACTTCTTTGTGAGTTAAACTATTATTCATTTTACCATTAAAGCGCAGTAAATGCATTTATTACTTAACCCAACTAAGAATGGCCATGTTTTTCTCTAAAACTGGCTCGGTAGTTTTAAATGTTACAATAAAAGATTATTTTAACCTGATCAGCTATTTGATTACATGAAAAGTTTGTCCTTTGATCTCTTGGATGTACAAACCAGATTGCTGCTAGCACTTCCTGGATGTATTTCAGCTGTATTTGTTTTCTGTGTTTTGGGCTAAGCAAGCATGATGGGAGTTCAGCTAAGGCAGCAAGACCGAATGCTGAACTATTTCAATGGAGACTTACTTCTACTAAGTCCACACTTCTAAGCCTACTAGCAATGTAGATTTTTTGTATTACTTTAAGTAGGCAGAATTATTCCTTTGTCATTGAACACGTTCCATTCCAAGTTTCTGAACAGAAGATTTTACATACTTTTCTATCCTACGGACCTTGGCTAGCAAAATCTGACAGCATAAATCCAATATATAGTAATGCGCTGAGCTGGGAAAACCCATCAAGAGTTACTATTGAATGTCACTGATTTAATATTATTATTCCTTGGAGACTAGCAAATGTCTTGAAAAGATGTTCACACAAGAGAGGCCGCTGAATTTAGGGTTCTCCAAAACCTGACCTTGATTGACCGCAGCAGGACAGAGTGTTGAAAAATAATGAAGCAGTATTCCACTGTGTGTATATGTTTTCCAATGTATATTTTCACATACCCTATATGTATATGTGCAGTAGATGACAATAACTTATTTTAATGTAACTACAGTTTGAGGTGAAACACATAAAATATTCCTGTCATTTTGCTATAACGTAGTTGTATATAATTTACTTCACAAAGCTTCTTTTTCTATAACTGTGTCTTTTTCTTTTTAAGGGAACCCCTGGCAAACCAGGTCCAAGGGGGCAACGAGGTCCAACGGTAAGAGTTGCCCCTTTTTATAGAATAGACTGTATGCTTATGATTATGTGTGGTATCAGTCCAGCAGTGCTTATCTATGTGTTGTGTGCTTTCTTTAGGGTCCACGTGGTGAAAGAGGTCCAAGGGGTACAACAGGAAAGCCAGGCCCCAAGGTAAGAATCGTATGCACTGTGTAGCAAACTAAGTTGACTTCAATGTACAAATTGGCCCTTTATTATGGACAGTGCAAGAATATATCCATTGCTTTTTTGTGTCCAACGAAGGGTGAGGTCAGCTAGGGGAAAGGCAACTGGCCTAAAGTATCATGTGGGAATCGGGTAGCATTTAAGGCAGTAATATCCAGTACTTTGCTGATTGCTGTGCTTTTTTTTCCTCCAAGTAAAGAAACAATCTACAGTTATGTGGAACATGAGCCAAGTTCCCATTTCAATACCCTGTGTGAATGGATCCTTTAGTACAAATAGACCTCATAGCTATAAATCCAACGAGATTTGTTAACATTTAAATTAATGACAGCATATTACATCTATATGCACTTAGGCCTGATTTCTTATCTTTAGTTATATAGCTGTGTCAAAGCTCCCTAAACATAACTTCATCATTTACAAATATTATCAATAAGTAGACCTAAAGAAGATCTTAACTATTTTATTGAATGTTTGCTTAATATTAGACTGTGACAATTAAATTCTACTGGCTCTCTCTGTCTTACAGGGTAACTCCGGAGGGGATGGCCCAGCTGGTCCTCCTGGTGAAAGGGTAAGATCTCAAAGATGCTTCAATAGTAACACAATTTGAGCTGGGAAGTGAATCCACAACACAGGAAACAGAGTAGAATGGCCACACCCAGAAGACATTGGTGTTCAGAAAATGTATCATGAACCCACCATTTAGCATTTTGGACAGACTATTCCCTAGACCAGCCTTTCTTAAGTCAAGCTCCTCAGGTCCTTCAGGCTCCCTTAAGGGCTGAATTTCAGTAAGATGCCTCCCCACCTCTAACCCC